ACCAGCGCCCCCTCCTCCCCCCGTCACTCTCTCCTACAGATGCTCTGTGCTGCCTGGATCTCCCGCCTGCCCCGGGGACTGTCTTGTGGTCCTGCTCCTCCTGGAGACAGGCATGTACCAGGTTCCACCCCAGCTTCCTCCTGTGCTCATTCTGAACTCTCTCTTGGACAGTGTTGTCAATAACCCCCACTTCCCTTATGACCATCCAGGGAGGATGTTCTCATACTGACCTCTCTGGGAGCTACAGATATCTCTACCTGGTTGTCCAAGATCATAAAAGAACACAGAACCAGATCCCCAACATATGGCAGGCACAGCTAGACAGAACCCATTACTCATTCCTTCACCTGCTCCCCCCACCCCAACTGCCTCTCTTCCCTGGTCCCTGGCAGTCACCCAGCGCAGAAATCTCAGTTCTTTTGGTCCTCCGCTCCACACCCCACCCATTCTTCCAAGCTAGTTCTGCCCCTAACCAGTGTTTCGAGTCCACCTTTCTGCCACACCACGGCCCGGGCTTCACTGCAGCCCCTCCGCCACCTGCCGGCCGACCAGGGATTCTCCTAGGTCTCCCTGCCTCTGACCCCCGCACCCTTTACAGCCCACGCTACTCTCCTCCAGTAGTGTAGAGCACAACCTTTCTAAAACGTGAACCCTATCATATTGCCGCCCGCTCTGAGCATGGTTCCCTGGGAACTGTGGCAAGGAGCCCTGGTGGTGTGGTGGGTAAGTGCTGGGCTACCAACCCAAAGGTCGAGGGTTCAAACTCAACAGTTCTTCCGCTCCCGTGAGGACTGCAGCCTGGAAAACCACTGGGGGCCGTTCTGCGTGGCCTGAAGGAAAGCCAAGGAGACAGCAGTGGAGCCCTATGGACCATGCACCCAGTCCAAGTTCCTGGGAGAACTCCTAAGACCACAACCCGAGAGCTGGCTTCTCCTTCTCCATGGCCAAGCTGTGCACCACCCGGTGTGCTGGCATCATCACCACTCCTCCCCCTTCAGCCTGCGGGCCACCTCCCTGCCCTGTGCACCACCCTCTGCCTGCACCCCAAACTGCTCAGGGGCGCCTCCTCGTCTGCAGTTGACCCAGCGACCAGGTGGACCCATCTCTGTCTTTGTGTTCCGACTGAGCATATTCATGATATAGCCAAGCTCCCAACCAGGCTTTCCCAGTGCGGTCATGGCTGATGAAATGACCCTGGTACAATGAAATGCGAGCACGAAAACCGGAGCGCAAACCACGTGTTAACACTGGCTAGGAATGCAATTTCCCTCTCAGGAAACAGGAGCAGCTGTGTGCTGGGCAGCAGTACAATCTCTCGACCAGCAGAGCTGGAAACAACAGTGCCCGTTTCAGAGACAGTGGCCGACCTAGCAGCCCCGAATGTGTGTTGTGGTCCACAGCCAGGCAGTCACCCAGTTTCCCAGGTCCCGCTGCTGAAAGGGGGCACCACTCCTCTTCCATTGTTCCCATTCCGGGCTGACTTCACAGTGGTGGCTCTGACCCAACTCGTCAGAAGCCCAGACCACTGCATCCATCAGTTAATCACATGCCAATCTCTCTCGCCTGCATGCCTGCGTTTCCTTGAGCGCAGGCACAGTGCCTTCCAACGTTTAACCCAGGAGACCGCCCAGGGCCTATCTGAGGCACGAAGCACACAGTCAATGCACGGGAGCTAATAAGCCTGACTGCACAATAGACCTTGAAGGAGTGCTCACCGCACAGCGGACACAGTTCCAAAGGCTTCCCACGTATTGACTCAGTTGCTTTGGACAAGAAGCCCAAGGGCCTTCCTCGCTGTACAGACACGGTGCGTACAGTGCAGACCTTGCCCAGGCCGCACAGCTCGTGACTGGCAATCCAGGGTGAGAACCAGGCCTCTGCCGGGAGATGCCGGTTCAGAGAGTTCTAGAGCGCAGCGTGGCAGGCACTCTTCACTGCCTTGCTGCCGGCTGCCATCTGACCGCCAACAAGTAAGGCAGCCCATTCCAATGGGCACACGAGCTGGCACAATGTGGCACGAAGGGCACAAGGGCAAGCAGGGGAAGGGACGGGCTCCTGAGAAGCACAGGGCGGGGAGTGGTGGTGGGGGTGGTGGTGTAAGGGGTTCAAGACTCAACATCCCCACCCACTCTGGGCAGCAGGGGTAAAAACTTGCTAAGAAGCTTTCTGGGGCCACGGAGATGAAGACCTGTGCACACACAGGGGCCCGGTGAGTGTTGGCCCCATGCCCCCGGCACCCCCGGCTCTGTCGGGCACAGAGGAAGGCGATCCCCGAAGGGCCCACTGCCCTCTCTCTGGAACCAGAAAGCCTTCTCCCTGGCGATGATGAGTTGCTCAGGGGCAGGTAGAAGCTGCCCAGCAGGAGAGACAAATGAACTCTGAGGCCGGACCCCTGAGCTGACCTTGGCAAGCGGGGCAGGCTCTTCCTTGGGCTGCAGTCAGGAGTACAGCATGGTCAGCTGCAGCCGTGAGGAGCCCGGGTTGCTCCTGCTGTGTTCTCACTGGCCCCTGCATCAGGCCGCCACACTAGGAAATGCTTGTCCTGTGCATGGTGCGTGCTCAGCAAGGGTGCCGGGAGATTCCAGAAGGGAGCATCCACTGCCCAGTTAATGTGAAGCCCACTCTGCCGACTGAGCCATGCAGGCAGCAGGGCTGAAGCAGTGACCCGCAGTGGTCAAATGAGGGCTGTCCAGAGAGGTGGCCAGAGGCTCGCAGTGGTTCCATGGAAATGATCGATAGCGCTTCCTTCCTCAAGTCTCAGCTGTGATCATTTACAACGAGGCTCACAGGCTGGCCGGCTGGTCACCAGGGCTCACCCGACTGCTGCAGGGACAGGTGGACGGACAGAAAGGAGCTGCCTGCCAGCTCCTGGCACCCTCTGAGAGACAGATCTGAATTTTAAAGGGAATTCTTCCCACGGGATTTCACCAGAGGAGGCATGAAAACGTACTGTAACCACAGT